CATCATATGTATCTAATACCGCAGTACAAAATATATGAACTTCATATATTTCATTGTATCTCATTTATCGCTTTCACGGGTTTATTACGAATCAACTTAACGGCCTGCTCCCAGTTGGCTTGTTAGCTCAAATGGTAGAGCGCTGCACTAGTATCGCAGAGGTCAGTGGTTCGAATCTCGTACAGGCCTGATTTTTTTCAGGTCTGATTTTCGCTGTTGCTTAAATAGCACTATCTACTGCGAGGATCGTTCATCATATGTATCTAATACCGCAGTACAAAATATATGAACTTCATATATTTCATTGTATCTCATTTATCGCTTTCACGGGTTTATTACGAATCAACTTAACGGCCTGCTCCCAGTTGGCTTGTTAGCTCAAATGGTAGAGCGCTGCACTAGTATCGCAGAGGTCAGTGGTTCGAATCTCGTACAGGCCTGATTTTTTTCAGGTCTGATTTTCGCTGTTGCTTAAATAGCACTATCTACTGCGAGGATCGTTCATCATATGTATCTAATACCGCAGTACAAAATATATGAACTTCATATATTTCATTGTATCTCATTTATCGCTTTCACGGGTTTATTACGAATCAACTTAACGGCCTGCTCCCAGTTGGCTTGTTAGCTCAAATGGTAGAGCGCTGCACTAGTATCGCAGAGGTCAGTGGTTCGAATCTCGTACAGGCCTGATTTTTTTCAGGTCTGATTTTCGCTGTTGCTTAAATAGCACTATCTACTGCGAGGATCGTTCATCATATGTATCTAATACCGCAGTACAAAATATATGAACTTCATATATTTCATTGTATCTCATTTATCGCTTTCACGGGTTTATTACGAATCAACTTAACGGCCTGCTCCCAGTTGGCTTGTTAGCTCAAATGGTAGAGCGCTGCACTAGTATCGCAGAGGTCAGTGGTTCGAATCTCGTACAGGCCTGATTTTTTTCAGGTCTGATTTTCGCTGTTGCTTAAATAGCACTATCTACTGCGAGGATCGTTCATCATATGTATCTAATACCGCAGTACAAAATATATGAACTTCATATATTTCATTGTATCTCATTTATCGCTTTCACGGGTTTATTACGAATCAACTTAACGGCCTGCTCCCAGTTGGCTTGTTAGCTCAAATGGTAGAGCGCTGCACTAGTATCGCAGAGGTCAGTGGTTCGAATCTCGTACAGGCCTGATTTTTTTCAGGTCTGATTTTCGCTGTTGCTTAAATAGCACTATCTACTGCGAGGATCGTTCATCATATGTATCTAATACCGCAGTACAAAATATATGAACTTCATATATTTCATTGTATCTGTGCATAAGTTATTTAGCACTGTCACAGGTAACGCATTCGCGATCGCAGAGGCAAGAAGAAAAACATCCATCTCCAATGGAAAGCCAATTTTATGATTTAAAGGATAAGTAACAAAATTAAAGATCAATTGGGGTAAGGCATATTTTCATTGTACAATTATACCTAGGTAGCGTATGGCGTTTTTTTACGTTTTTCCAACGGACAAATTGGAAAACAAACATTGGGCACTCGCAAGGAATACCTGGTCGCGATTTCCGGTGTCGGTGATTAACTCCTTTGTTCGGGAACAGAAAAAAATCGATGTTAGTGCTTTCCCATATTGCAAGTACAGCAGTGTTTTTGCTCGATTGATCGAATATGAGCTTTCTGTGGGTTCTTAGGTTAATGTCCACGGTCGTAATTCGACTTTGTAGACATTTTATCTACTGGTTTAGTAGGGGTCTTAGCTTTCAAAGCTAAGAGGGGTCTTAGTTTTCGAAATTACGAAACCTTAGACCCCTAAATTTACCAAAACTGAAACTCGGTGGAAAGGATCGGACAGGAGATAATTTGACAGATTAGTCCTGTTTTGGTTACAATTTGACTTTATATTTGGACGGATTCGATTTTAGGAGGTCTTAGTTTTCGTAATCTCGAAAACTAAGACGGGTCTTAGGTCTTCGTTTTCGAGGGTCATAGTTTTCGTAACACCCCTACAACAGCCTTTGCGCGCACAATTAGTGTCCAGGACCCACGGATCTGACCTTGGTTTTGCCGTAAGCTTTTTGGTTTTGCCGTGACAGTTGTGGGCCACCGTAAAATAGAAAAGATGTGTGTCCCTTACAGGGATACACATCTTTTCTATTTTAGTGCCACTTTTGGTGCCACTTTTGGTGCCACTTTTAGTGCCACTTTTTGTGCCACTTTTTGTGCCACTTTTAGTGCCACTGACCCTGGGAACGAGGTTGAATTATCGCAGGCTCGTGTTGTACGCGAGTCAAGAAAATCAACGAGGAAAAATAATGAACTCTGGGAGCGCGCTCATTAACATCAACCTTTTTTTCATTGAATTTTTTTTTTACTCGCACGATGGACTGCGCCGAAAAGGGTGGACGGTTCGTAATCTACCGTAAAGCTAAAACTCGACCAGACAACGACAACAACTAACGCGTGAGAATTAACACGTCAATAAGCGAGTTATAAATTGGGAGCACCTCAAACCTCGTTCCCAGGGTCTTTTTCCTCACTTGGGGGTGGGGCGTTGGAGCACCTCTAGTTTTGTCATATCACAACTGGTCCACGGGTTTGTCCGGATTGTTCGATTGGCGCTCCTTTATTCTTTTCAGATGACAGCACGAAACCGTTTCAAATAAGTTACAAAAAAAACCTTTTCAACTCCAGCAGACTAATGCATCTAACAATCCCAGGACGCTCAATTGTATTAACATAAGTTAGGGGTGTTTCACTTAAAGGGAAAGCATGTTGTTAACTGATCAGTTATCGCACAAATGATTAATAAACTAAAGCACGGTGGTCAACGGCACCATCATTGAATGCATTTAGCCCTATTTTCATAGCAAAAATATCTGCTCGAAGTATATTTGATGTCTTGAAAAATAGTTATCCCCCTCCCCTCCCCAGTAAAGAGAATTTTAATTTAAAATTTGGAGTTCCTCTCCGCGCAAGGCGATTACCGACTAGGTTGCCGCTTCTTTATGTTCCGGGCCACCAAGAAGCTGACTGGACTTTTCTCACTTGACTCAACTTCCGAGGAAATAAAAAAAAAGACAAAAATCACAATAACGAAACAAAGTCAGTAATTCTGAGTCTTTTTTGCGTCGTGCAAGACTACCCACAACTTGAACGAGACGGAAAAATATCAGCTCTGTTTTAAAGAAAATTCAAAAGGGGTAATTACAAGCCTAAAAGATGCAAAGAAGATTGACACGACTACAAGTGATAAACTTGTAAAGTTTAACCCTTTCACTGTATTATGATGTGCTAGTTCATTAGTATTAATTAATAGTAATTAGTTAATAATAATTAGTATTGGATCAACTGATAATCCCCTAATTGATATTTTTCTTTATTCTCATCATTTTTCTGCGTGATATTGTGTTCATGTTGCAAGGGGGAACTTCTATCCTGGTAACTCCCGGGAATTTAAGGGTTAAGAAGCTGAAGCTGTTATGTGGTCAGTGCCTAAGAGGCCCTCCAAATTACTGAGACCCCGAGCCTAAACAAGGAACATGAATGATGAGTAAGGCTAACCAACAAATAGACTGTGTAGCTGACTGTGTAAGCGAACGCGAGGTAAGGAGCGGGAGTGGCGAATCATGCCTGAGAGTGGAAGGAGCTTGCCTCCACTAGTCTGAATTCGTAAAAAAAAAAAAAAATTGGCCTACAAGTGGTACGCGTTAGGTAAAGGATAAGCAAAACAAATTGCTACGTGAAAATAATCAAAACTAGACGGTGCTTTAGACCTTCATGTTGTGGTTACATTCCAAAGGAGGGATGTGGAAAATACCTCTTTGGGACTGAATTCCAAAACGGTTGCTATGGCGGTGATCATCTGCTGTTTGACAGAGTAACTGGTGCTCATCATAAACCTGAGCACGATATTTTTAAGGTATTCCAAGTTGGCACTCTCTCGAGATCTGAAGAATAAAGCGAATGGGCACTTATTCAGTAGCACTTTGTAGCGCAACTTGTTAAAGAGATGTCGTGCCCATGATGTTCGGTCCCCCGAGATAATGCTGCAGCTATCCAGAAATGATCTTACTTGGGTATTTTGGTGAAAAGTCAATGGACGCCCCGTAGGTCGACAAAGTGAATAAACATCCCTTCCAAGGATGCTTGCTAGCTCACTACGGTTTACCAACCTCACCCCTCTCGGTAGAACGACAATGTAAGAATAAACCATCTCGCCTAGGACCTGCGCACGATGCCTCAGATTCCGGCAAGCCAATAGCTGCACATCACTCTGTCACCCAAGTTAAGATCATTTTGTCGTAAAAAGTTTATTACTTCCTTCACAGTATTTGTATCTCCTTGCACGATGCCGGGAATATTTGAAAGTATTTGCACGCCACATCAATTTGGGTTTTGCATTTAGGGTCCACTAAAAGTGGAGAAAACTTTACCTATCTCTTTCCAGTTTCCTGATTTCTTCCTTCAGAACGTTGGTTTGATCAATCAGCTTTTCACCTCTTTCCAAACAAAAAAAAATCAATGTTGCTAAGAAACCGCATACATAAACAAGATGTTTTCGGGATGTGCTAACTTTAAACATCAAGTCAGTTTGCTTGTAGTCGTTCTACAGTTTATCAAGAAACACTCAAGCCAATATGGACCAATAAGAAGATTTCATGACATGAAGTCATTCTAAAACGCAATATCGTGCTCTTCATGATATTTAAAACACGTAAAACCATTGGCAATTGAAAAAAAAATATGTTAAACATATTTTTATCATTAGGGCTAACTAGTGGCGGGAAGGAGAAATAACATAATCTTATGGTAAAAGGATTCTGTGAAGTGAAATCTCAACTGATTCAATTTCTTACGGGGAGTCCGTGTTGGATTCAGAAAGATGCCAAACATTATACCAACCGTAGTTCAGCATCTCTTAGGGACGCCTCCAGCTCGTTCTTCTGACGTCGTATCGCCACGCTTTCCGCTTCCCTTCTGGCTTGTTGTTGAGCGTAATGTACTAATGTGCTTTCACTGTTGCTAACCTAAAAAAATCACGTTTTATTCAGTTCATCAGTTTTGTAAGGAAATATATCCTGTGTTATCGTACGAGCCGTATGGTTATTAGCTATGAAATGTTCTAAATCTCAATAATCTGCTAAAATACATTTTGCAGGTGTTAAACACACTTACCCCAGAAGGCTTGGACAAAAGTTGATGAACAGCTGCATCTGCATCAGAGGACTGGGGAGAGTCCAAAGTGGCCTGAGACCCACTACTCACCTCCACAAACTTTCTCGGATAAGAAAACACTTGCCTTGTTTTGGCCACATTCTCTGCTGAAGGACTACTTGAAGGACTGCGGCTTCTCAGTATCTCAATCTCAGAATCTTTTTCTGCCACTAGCGCAAGAGTTCTTTCTCTTTGATTTAAAACCTGTCTTTCTAGTTCCTCAAGTCTTTGTTTGTAAACGGTACTTGTTTCTTCTTGTTCCCGTTTGTGTTTCTCTTCCAGTAACTTGACTTGATCTCGCAGATTGGAAATCACCTTCTTATGATCCCGTTCTTTTTCAAGGCCCTGATCTTTTAACTCTTCAATTTGCTGTTCCAAATCCGTGTTGCGTTTCTTTAATATTTCCAAATTTTCCAACTGTTCACTTAGTTCTTTAAAAGATTTGTTCTTGTGTAGGGCTTGCGTTTTCACTTTATACCTTTCAAACTCTTCCTTCAGTTGGCGCAGCTCTTGTTGACAAATCTGATGAGAAGGGTCGTTGGCAAAGAAGGACTCCAACTCAGACTTGCTCAGTTCTTCTAATTTTTAGAAAGTAAAAAAAAAAAAAGAAAAAAAAAACAAATATAAAAAAAAATAATGTTTACCAATCTATACAACGGAAAGTTCCATGACAATATAGGTTAACCCTCTACACTTAAACATCAGTTTCTATCAATGAATTTGAATATATGAAAATCATATATGTACAGCGGTTTCATTAAATGTTTGAAAGCGATCCTCGCAGTAATGAAGCCCACTTATGTAGTAGTGGAAATAAGGCCTGAAAAAATTTCAGGCCCGTAGGGATTTGAACCCAGGACCTTTGCGGTACTGGTGCAGTGCTCTACCAACTGAGCAAACTAGCCATAATGACCAGCTCCCAGTTGGCTTGTTAAGAAGGGTTCGTTACTGCGAAGATCGCTTTCATAGATCAGTTTCTATATTCTCCATTCTCTTTTTTCTATATTTTCTTTGGTACTGACAAAGAGAATTCGTCTAACAACCGAGAGCTTCTTTAGTTAGTGACCATTTCCCCTATTCTCCTAGTCTTAATGAATGATTCAGGAGTATTACTGTATGGAGAAATTAGATGCCTGTCACTCTTGGAGGTTTTAAGGGTTAAACATTAGGCATCTCCTTTGGAACTTTCAGGTGAACGTAAATTTCTAATATATTAAAAAACCCATTTGGCTAGGTGGCTGTGCTTTGTAAATCAGAGTGGCTGCGAGCCTACATTGAACTTGAATGAATAATACACCGAATGCAAGTATGGCGCCATTGTTCTGGACTGACTAGCCTCGTCTTCACATGGAAACACAAAAGGATTATTACAAGTGTGAGAGGCTAGTCAGTCCAGAACAATGGCAATTCAAATTGGAGGCCAAATTTGCATTCGATGTATAACATTGCTGCATCTTAAATAGTAATAACATTAGGATGATCAGAAAATACCAGCTAAAGCCACCTATTGAACATTTCCTAAATAGTTTGAAAGATATAACAGTTATGGGCAAGCCTCACACACTAGGAAACAGAACAATCAAAAACGTTTTCAGGAATCATAGGAAGGAAAAACAAAGCCAAAAAAAAAAAAAATAAAGCAAATTCAAAAGTGGGTCAAAATCATACCTTCATTTTTTTTCCCTCTCTAACATGGAACCTAAGAATCCACTGACTACCTTAGTCAGGATTAAACATTGTAGAGGGTGGCAAAGAGGGGGTGGGGTGGGGGGGATTCTGATCCCATTTCATGCACGCTTCACGTAAACTGCAGTGTTTCACTCGAAAACCTCACATCTCAACTCACTTTGCCTTTCTTTAAAATCCACGTTTCAAGTGTCAATTAATCACGCGTCACGTACTAAGTAAATTAACATGCCTTTTCAGTACAATTTAATCTCGCAATACTACTAACCAAAATTCATTGGTGTGTCACAGGAATTAAGGGCAATCTTGAGCATTCCTTTCAACTTGAAAACTTGCTTTTTTAACTCGTCTGGTGTTTCGTTTTCTTCCAGTTCCTTTTCATTGTCTGGCATCTGATTTTCATCTAAACTAAGCTGTCTTGATAACGTGGCATTTTCTGAATCTAGTTTCTGCAAACGGTCTTTTAGTTTCTGTATAGCTTGCTGGTCTTGTAGTCTAAGCTTTTCATAATTTCCGACAACTTCTGACAACTCAGAGAGTTTCACCTCTGTTAGGAAACAAGAAATAATATACTACAATTCAAAACATAATACATGATCCACTGGTTGACAAAGGGTGTATTTGTATTTCTCCTTTTTTTTTTTTTGCATGAAAATACTACAATCTATTAAAGTGGCATTTTCATGTCAAAAACATTGTACTGAAATGGATAGAGATTTTTTTTCCTCTTGGAGTTCGAGTGTGATAGTACCTACAGTTGGGAAAACAACGGTTTTTTTATGTAATTTTGTTGAGTACTTGAGTGCTGAAAAAAGACAATTGAAGGGCTGGTCATTACAGCACACATCACAAGAGAAATACGAATGGCATAGACAATGTGGCAAACCAAGTCTTCATTTGAATCAGGACTATTCAGGTTCATGCCCCCCCCCCCCCCCCCCCCCCACTTCTTGCTTGCCCTCCATATTTTTGTGCTTACCTACAGAAAAAAGTGAGGTTGAATGCAGTCTGCTTGGGAATTAGAGGTAGAAAAGTAATTAAAAATACAAGTCACTGAATTCTGTACATACCCAAATCTGCTACTCTACACTCTTCTAAACTTGTAATAATCCTCAACCTTTCCTCAGCATCATTGGCTCTCTTCTGCTCCCTTATGACAGCCTCTGCATGTTCTTTCTTCATCTTGGACATTTCATCTTGCAACTGGACCAGAAGTGGCAAGGGTCTTGTGGAGGCTTTCTCTGCTTCCTTCATCCGTTTCTCAACTCCTTGTAACTCAAGCTGCAGCAGGGAAATTTGACGTTCATATTCCTCTGTTTTGCTACCAGGTAACTTTTTAGACAGCACAATCTGTTCTTTGGCATCTTCTAGCTGTTGTTCAAGGTCTTCTTTTGTGGAGCGTTCTGTGGACAACAGCATTTGAAGTTCACGCAGCATGAGGACATGGTTGTTTTGTTCTTCTTCACGGGCTTGCTGTTCATGTCTCATGCGCAGCTTGAGCTGTTTGTAGACAAATGAGATTGATTATGGATTAGTTTTTTTTCTTGGCTAAATTACTGCAATATTTCAAGGAAAACATGTCAACACAAGCATAGTAGGACATCTACATGTCAATCCTGTCAAGTTGTGTTATCATAGATTGGTGTCAACCTGCATCAGAATATCAATTGGATCATTTTTGGCTAATTCCACAAATCATTCTTAACCTGTAACCAGCCATTCTTATTTTTGGGTGAAGTGCAAGAGTGCAGCAGTTCAAGAGTTAGCAGTCAACACCTGATCACACTCCTCCCCCAATCCCATAAGTAAGATTTAAATGGTGGGAAAAAATCTCAGAGAAGGTAGGCTACTCTTCTGGAACTCAAAATTCAGTCATAATTTTGAATATTATTTTTGATCATGGAGATAAAAAATATACAGTTTCTCAAGCATACTTCCACCTCAAACAAATTAAAGAAACCTTCTGTCAGTTTCCAATTCTCATTTAAAGCAAACCTCCTGTAGTTGTTCCTCCAGTGTTGCCACATTCTTGTTCAGCTTTTCGGTTTCTTCTGCATATTCCTTGACTTTGACTTCCTGTTCTTGCTGCAGTTGTTAGATTTCAAATATAGACAAAAGGATGCTTTAATCATGGAGAACATGTAGGATGGAATAGTTTTAAAGTGCTATATAGCAACATGAAGTTCAATGACAGATAGATGAATTCAGCTGAATTAATTATTTGACATGGGAAGAAAATGTTAGTTTTCTAATGGTAGGTGAACAAATAAACATCAAATTGTGTACAATTAAAGCTGGTGGAGATCTACATTAAGTTATTCTCACTTCAGATGGTACAATAGTTAAAAAATTTGAATACAAACACTCTTTTTGTCTTGTTACATGTATTGTCCAGTACATGCATTTATTGAGTTCTAGTTGACTGATTTTGTAGTTTACAAGCATTTCACACTCACACGCATGCTTTTTTTTACTTAATATACACTCAAGTCTGTGCGTTATTGATTCACGGTGTGGGTCTTTTCACGCATGGGAATGGCGTGCACATCGTAGTGTTGCATTACATAGCATTGCATAGCATTACCATTGTAATCGTGCCATAAATCTACTCCCCTAAGTGAAAGTAAAATAACTGATTACGGGTACTGTATAGTAAATATATTATCTTGATTATTTAATAAAAAACAGTTGAATTAGAGGAATGAGAGTGATCACTTGACGCATGAATACTCTACACACTTCAAGCTGTAGCTGATTTTCATCTTGAAGTATCTGCTAAGCACACCCAAAGCGATAGGTGTTCGATGTATCTTAGAAGGCCGCTTCAAAAATGTTCCTACACTTAAGGATGTACGCACCATCATTTTCTTTTTATCTGCCTGGTAGTTGGCTTCCATCTTTGACTTCTGCTCCATAACAGTAGCAAGTGATGTTGTGAGAGTGGATATCTTGTCTTGCAGGGTTTCCAACTCATCATGCTCAGATGAGGTGTCTTCCTGCTTTGAGAAGATAAGACAAACTTAGTGAAAAAAAGTAGAAATCTAGCCTGCTGTTTGAACATAAGAGTAATTGTAATATTCTACTGAGGTCACTCTGTGATGTGAGGGTGGTCTTGAGAAGGACTATTGCTAGTTAGAGTTGCTAACTGTTCAACAACCTGAATGGAAGACATTAGCAAAGTCAAGGAGACAGACATGGTAAAGAGACATTACTGGACTGAAAACATTATTTTTTTTTTTTTTTTTTTATGCAAAGACTACTAATTATCAATACTCCTAGTGAACTTCTATTGAGTAACAGCTGTTGTCTGAGTACAGAGCTAGAGAGAATAGGTTAAGAAATTTATCAGTATGCATTTAATTCATATTAAATGTTTGGCACTGACTCAGTGCTAGTTAAAGAAAAAAAAATTCGCACTCCAGACAAGTGGCCAATCTAGCCAGAACTTATTCCAGCTTCTGCAGAATGAAGCTACTCAGAATTTCACTCTTAATACTTTTAACAAGTATTTATCAAAGTGGAGGTGGCTAGTGGTGGATATGTAGTGAGCTACTAAGCAGAGAGGTTAATATCCACCACTAGTCACCAACACTGTGGTGAATACCCCCTCACAGGAAGTTGTTTTTAGTTTATACTAAAACAGTGAGATGATAAAGCACAGAAAAGTTATTTCAACTCATTTATTGCTGCAACGATTACAATATTTTTGGCTGTAAATCCTGCGTGAGTCACTTGGAGGTATACAGCAAAGGATATTCTGAGTTTGAGCGGCCAATCAGAATGTGCCTTCAACACTTTCAACTGTTTTGGTATACATGTACAAATGCATTACAACAAACCTTTTCAGATGGTAATTGATTTTCATCATTTCCTTCATCATCCTTAACTGCTAAAGGATGATCCAGTACCTCCCCTTTCTTTAAACCATCCTCTTCCAAAGGGCTTGCTAGACCAACACCCTTACTAGCCTTATCACTACTATTTTCATCTTTTACAACTTCCTTCTGATCTTTGCTATGGGTTGGTTCATTTCTGTGGCTGCTTTTTGTTGGCTGGGTGTTACTACTTGTTAAAACTTTGACACTGGCTTCTATTGCTTCTTTTTCTTGTAAGAGATTCTTGTAGGCATGGACAACATCTAGAGAGAAATGGGAATAGATATGTTGTAGTCAGAGCTCTCAAAGATTTAACCTGTCGAGTTAAAATTACAGTACAACTCATAGTGAGAACTGTAACTTTTGTCCCAAAAGGGAAGAAAACCTCAAGCAAAACTGGAAAGATCTTGAAGAAACATTGACTTTTTCTCTAGCAATACACCACCTACTAACCGCTGCCTGGTTAGCTCAATTGGGAGAGCGCCGGACTGCTGTGTGGCAGGTCGAGAGTTCAATAGCGGCCGGACCAACACTTAGGGTCTTAAAATTAATTGAGAAGAATATGCTTCCTTTCTTTAACATCAAGAAATGGTTAGATATTCTAGTCTTCTTGGATAGGGACAAATAAATGGAGGTCCTGTCTCCTGCAGGGTTTGGGTAGGAGATGTTAATTTCCCACGCACGAGGTTACTGTATGATGGATGTCCTCCCTGGGGTGGGTTGGGTGGGTAGGTGAAATCGCTA